CAATCTCTGTATTTGAGCTGAGATGATTCTTCCACGAGTGTAATGCCGCTCAGCTTTCAGACTACGTCTTTGTTGAACCTCAGCAGTGTCTGTCAGACGACTTCCCCTCTGATCATCATCTCCAGCTGCCTTCTGATTCGAGCCCTTTCGAACTTTTGTGCCAAACGCCTTTCTCTCTACTTATTATTCTCCTGCTGTCTTCGGGCCCGGACTCTTCCAGCACAGTCTGCCAAAAGCATATTTCTCTGCTAATCATATTTCATTTGTCTTCTAACACGAGCTCTCTCAGCATCCTGTGCTAGGCGCTCATTTCGATGAGAATCTCCTTCTTGCTGCCTTCGGACTCTCGCTCTTTCAGCATCTTGCCGTTTGCCGAGCTCCCTTTGCTCCTGCGACTCTCGTGCACGCCTTATCCTTCTCTGCTCGGCTTTTCGTCGAAGTCTCGCATGACGCTCTTTCGCAGTTTCGGCTTCTCTCCTTGACCTTTTCCGGGTTGCCTCCCTTTCTCGATGACTCAAAGATTTATCTTCTGCTCTAGATTCAAGCGTTCTCTTCTAGAAAGCCGAATAGAGACCAATTCAGAAGTTGAATCATTCCTTTCTCCTCATCTAAATCCTACCCTTATCCAATGCAGCTATCCTATGTTCTTGTTGTTTCTTCTTATCTACTCCTTTCCAATCTGGCCGAATCTCAGCAAATGTTGGTCAGAGGAGAAGATTAATTACTGATTGGTTTCAGTAGCATGTGAGGAGAGTGTGACTTGGTTTATTCCTCGCTAATAGTAGTCCACCGCAAATATACATGAATGGTTGTGACTTGTTGAAGTATCCCGTTTTCTCTTCATTCAGATATCAGTTGCAAGAAAAATCAATCCAACCTTGTGAGACTTTCGGAACGCGTACTGCGACGATATAACAGCAGTTAATAAAACATCAAGTCAAAACGAGTTATATCATGTAAAGCTTTCTGCTTAACGGTTATGTTATGTTATGTCTATTACGTTGCTAAGGCAAACGTAGTATAAAAGGATCACAACCTTCTGGAAACAACTCAAATAACGGAATAAATGGAAGGGACCTATGTAAATAGAGAACATGTAAAATGAGGTAACAGTGCAATCTCAAGGTTAGATATAAAACAAAGGCATAGAAGAAGTGGTCAACCGCAAGGAACTATGAAAGCTCATACTTAGATAAAATAGCTGCCACAGTGCGTTTGAACTTAGACAAGGAGTGTTCAAGTTTTTTGTTATCTTTTTTGTAGAGGCTAGCCGCTCTAAATGTGAAACTTTTGGCTCTTACACTGGTTCTGGGCCTAAGAAGATTTATTTTAGTCTGGTCGCCTCTAGTTCGAGATTGAGCCGTTTTGTAAAGATTAAAGGAACCAAATATATTACTTCGGTACGGTAGCTTGTATACCATACATACGTCAAATACCGATTCCAAAGTAGAAAGTTCAAAGTATTCGTCGCAAATAGATGCTTTAGGAGTCCTAGAATAGAAGAAACTCTTGCATCGGCAAAGGATTTTACGCGTAAAATTGTTGTGGACCTTCTCTAGTGCTTCGACATCTCTTCTCCTAGAAGGGTTGAGCACAGCAGCACCTCTCGATCAAAGGTCGAACGTACGTTTTATAAGCTTTAAGAAGGATGGACTTATTAGTGGAGGACAACCCTTTGAAGATTTGCAATGTACGCAGTGAGGCCAGGGTACACCGGGTTCTGATATGTTTTGAAAAGGCAAGTTTGTCAGTATAAT